GTAACTTTCCAAAATCAAAGTTCTAATCACCCTTTTGCTGTTTATTCCAAAAGAAAAAAAACATTAAGTCCTTACATTTGTATTTAAAACTTCTTTTGCTAAGGATTGAAAGAAACTCACCCGGTGCTTGATCCAAAGGTTCCTAATAGCTGAAAAACAATTCACAAGCAATTTCCAAAAGTGATTAGAAAAGGAAGTATGTGAACCCTGTCTCCTTTTGAAGGCATCAACCACAGTTTGAGCAAGATGGCTATTCCCTCATCTCCCACAGCCCTAAACCTGCTGGAGACTGCTCTCTTGTGGTCTCTTCACGAGGAACAACTGTCTGGAGCACTTGTGGGTGATCTCAGGTCCTCTCCTTGTCCAGAGAGGAATTACCAAGAGCCGGTCTACTCACTGGCTCTTCATTCCACCATGGTCACTGGCTCTGCTTTTAGATAAAAGATAAATCTGAATAGATTCCCCATTCAGAAGCTGAGGAGACGAGCTGGTTGGATAATAATGTCAATGGAAGAGTGTCTTCCACCACATCAGATGGTTGTTTAGGAGACCAAAGGAAGTGATCCTTGGTGGAGAAACCATAATATCTGTCCCCTGGGGGCAGTTGTCTCAATGTAAGAATGGCCCTGACACTGCAATGGTCTTTTGTTGTGGTTGTGAAATGTACAATTTGATGAAATGTTACACTTTCTACTCTGGAGCTTCATCTCTACATCGCCAAGGCAACTTGGTTACAATTTTGGGAACCAATTTTACAGACTAGATTTTCTTTCTTTTTTTGTTCTTGTTAAAATGCTTAGCTTGTCTTTCCAAGCCACATCTTCCCAGGACAATTTATAATCCTTAAAATCCCAAAAATAAATATATTGAATCACCATGAAAATCTACCATTACTGTAAATCATCATAGAACAAAATAATAAAATACAGTGCCAGAGTCGTTAAAAAGAACGCCCCTATTCCGACCTTTACAGGGGAACAAATGAGGTAAAAATTGGCAGGTTAGGGGCAATTTGACAAATAGGGGGTCATGTTGGGGTTGAGGCCTGGAGCCTTTTTGAGAAATTATTCTTGGTTTGCTAAAATTCCCTTGGTTCGTCAAGATTTTACTGTATTATTTTAATACAGCATGAGTGTTTGTACAAACAGAAGGGCAGAGTTTAAATAATAATAAGAATAATAGTATAAATATTCTTCTTTGCTTCCTTCTAGTTTCTTGGCACAGCTTAATGAGTAATATTATTATTAATAAAAATAAATACGCTATTCTTCTTTGCTTCCTTCTAGTTTCTTTACACAGCTTTCAAAAGCCTGATGACCCTGCTCCCTTGTATTACCTTTGTATTAAATGTTGAAATAGGATGGACAATTTTATGCCCATTTGCAAGGCTTGCGTTGGGAATGAAACAAAGAAGAGTAATTGTGCAATTCCACTGATATGCCCACAGTCAAACTTTAACCCCCATAAATCTTGTCCTTTGCCAAGTCACCCACTACATGTCATAAATCTACCTCTTAAAAATGAATGGCTTAAAACCAAATTCTATGCCATGCTAAATCCTTCGGCTCTCAAACTTGTAAGAAGTTGGGGATGGAGGGCTAAGTGGATCTTGCTTTACGTATTAGGAAGGTGCAGAATTTGGCAAGAAGTCCGGAACTTTTATTCTTTTTAAAAAGGGGACACTCTGAAAGAGGTTTGGATGTGTGTATCTAAGCTTAATTTCTAGTAATTAAAAGGCAGGACTTTTAAATACCCTGGATAGCTTCTTTAAGTGGGATAAATGGTGCCAAAGAGGGATGCAGCTACGTGAATAAATGTGATACTTCGTTCAGTTTGAATGCAGAATTTGATTTGCTTTGGAGTGGGAACCATATTTTTATGCAGGGGGGAACTGGGGTGGGAAGAAAAGGAAGCCAACACGGGGCACGTTTTCTTCTACGCAGTAGCTTTGAAACATGATATGTTTTCGCATGATCCCACTTCTGCAGGAATGACTTTGTAAGGACAAACAGGGGAACATCTTGTGCCCAACCAGGACAGTCGAAGTGCCAGCTCCATAATAGTCTCATTAATCAGAAGGAACCGTGAAAGAAGCACATTGCAAGTGGCTAGTAAACAGCTGGGATTCGTAAGTGCTTGGTGCTCCTGGTGATAAATTAACCCCAGTGAGAGGAAGGATCCTAGAAATTCAGGAGGAGGAAAGCCATTAGATTATTTAACTGTGTGCTGGTTCAAATAAGCGTGGCACAGAAAAATTGCAGGTGTGCTTTGAGAAACAAGGCAAAGGGTCATCTCAGGATCATGGAATGGAAGAGTTGAAAGGGACCTTGGAGATGGGTTGATAGTCCAACCTCTGCCTGGTGTAGGAATCCACAATTACAGCATCCTTGATAGATGCCATCCACTCCTTCCTTGAACACTGCCAGAAGAGAAGCCACTTCCATCCCAAGACCCCCAACTCCATTGTTGAACAACTCCTACCTAGGAAGTTCTTCCTGATGTCCCACCAAATTTGACTTCCTTGGAGTATCATAGACTCATAGAACGTAAGGTTTGGGAGATACCTTAGAGGTCCTCCAGTCCAGCCTTTTGCCTAGGGCAGAAATCTACTCTTCCAGCACTCCCCAAAAGATGGCCTTTGTTTAAATGCCTCCAGAAAAGCCTCTCCCAAGACAATCTGTTCTCACTGGTAGGAACATCGTCCCGATGTCCAATTGAAATCTCTTTCCTTGTACAGTAAGTCCCTTGTTTTGTGTTAGGTCTTCTGGAACAGCTTGGAATAATTCTGCCCCAGTTTCTGCAGGACATCTTCTCAGGTACTCGTGTCTTCTTATGCCTGCAAACTCTCTTGGGTGCATGGACACTCACACACACAAGCCCACAGATCGCTTCTTGGTGGGACTCGTCTGCAGGGCATCCCACCTTTACCTGATGCCTTTCTAGTTAAGATGATCAAGTAGTGGGTGAAGTGAAGATGCTTGGGCTAGGTGGGGAAAGCTGAAAATATCTGCCGTAGCTTCTCGCTCTTCCTGTTTCCTTCCCCTAGGGCAGGAGAGTTCACTTCTGCATCAGGATACAGCAAGGGAATGTTCTCCTGGTTCAAGCCAGAGGCCCAGTAGAACAGCCTGTCCTCAAAGGAGGCTGCCTGCTGTATCTTTCCCTGAGTTGCTGCTCTAGACAGAACTTTCTAAGAGCAAAGGAAAGTTGTGTCCTGCATCAGTGGCTTATGAATGAGCTGCTTTTCCTGTTTGTTCCTCTGATCCATCGAGAGGCAAAGCTCCAGATAAATTTAAGAGGGATAGGCAGGCTGAGTTCAAACCCCACTCCCTTCTAGAACCGAAGATGTTACCTAGACGGGTCATGAAACGTCTGCAAGAAAACCACCCAGCTCAGAGAGCCCCAAGGACTCCACAGTTCAACCCCGAGCTACATATATTCTCTTCTATTGGTAATCATTGTGCATTTAAGACTCCAGGAGACCCATATTCCAGAGAAGTTTTACAGCGTACAAGCATTCCTTGGAGATATTGCGGGTTCGGTTCCAGACCACCACAATAAAGTGAATATCGCAATAAAGCCAGTCACACAATTTTTTTGGTTCCCCAGTACATATAAAAGTTATGTTTACCCTATACTTTAGTCCAGTGTTTCTCAACTTTGGCAACTTGAAGACGTGTGGACCTCAGCTCAAGCTGGCTGGGGAATTCTGGGAGTTGAAGTCCACGCGTCTTCAAGTTGCCAAAGTTGAGAAACACTGTTGTAGTCTATTAAGTGTGCAATAGCATTATGTCTAAAAAACCAATGTTCATATCTTTATTAAAAAATACTTTATTGCTTAAACATGCTAATCGTTATCTGATTAATAATAATGAAAACGTTTGAAATATTGCGAGAATTCCCAAAATGTGACCCAGAGACACAAAGGGAGCAAATGCTGTTGGAAAAAGGGCGCCGAGAGACATGCTCGACACAGGGTTGCTACAAACCTTCAACTTGTTAAAAAACACAATATCTGCGAAGCAAAATAAAACGAGGTATGCCTTTATGTCAAAAGTTCCCAGCGTGCCCAGCGTTAAGCTAATGGCTCAGCTAAAACAGAATCCCACTGTGTTTCTTAGTTTTTTTTAATATGAAACAATAGCTCACCCATCAGAGACTTTCTGGAGATAGTTAGAATAATTTCAGTTTCTCTACCCCACTACTTTAGCAGAGAAATACCTATTTGTCCAGCTCCTCGATGGCCTCTGAAGGTAACAGATTATTTCCCCAAACTCAGAGAAAGTCTGAAGGAGTCAAGGTTGCCCCAACACAACGGTTGGTTGACTCACTCATGCTTTCGCCATCTTTCTTTCAAAAGAGAGCCGAGGGAGGATGAGAAATGTACAAGGATCCTCAATGTCTTTGGTCTTACAGCTTGTGAAGACGGCAGAATTGGATCCGGCCAAGAATTACATCTTTGGTTTCCATCCTCACGGCATCTTGGTGGCTGGTGCGTTTGTTAATTTCTGCACCGAAGCAACAGGCTTTTCCAAACTCTTCCCCGGACTGACCTCTCACATGATGATGCTGAATCTGTGGTTTCGGGCCCCCTTTTTCCGGGATTATCTGATGAGTGGAGGTAAGCAAACTCAGAAGGGATCTCTCATGAATTGGGAATCTTCTGAAGGAGGTAGAGATGGGGATCTCTTGAAAGCTTCTCCCAATCCAGAGGGAGCTGGAGATCCTTTGGGAAGGCTGACAAATGTTGCTCTCGCCAAATGGTTCTTGCTGGAGAAAAATCTGTTAGGAGAAAACATGCGAATTTATTTTCATCCCGTTTCCAACATACAAGCTTTCTCTCCCTCCTCCCTTGGCCCCGAGATGAGTTTCGTTGCATGGTCAAGTGGGACACAAGAATACTTCAGTCTCCAAGTACTTATTATGGGTTGGCAAAGCCAGGTCAAACACACATGGATTGTTCTGAAACGCTCCATGGGCAAGACCTTGAAACAGAAAAAAAACAGGGTGTACTTCTAACTGACCAAGAAGGAACTACAGGAGCATAACCTGATTAGTTATGAAAAGTTTAAAAGAGATTGTCTGTGCCAGTGTTTC